CACAATGTACTTGCTTAGTTCACAGATATTACTATATAGAGTTGGTCAGGATGAGAATCCTCCCTATTAACTGCTGTGTTCAAAAACATGATGGAGATTCTTAGGAACATTGCCTTAACCAACTTGTTCATATAAATGTATTCTTGTGCGCCTGCCATATTTCCTAGCATTTCTACTTTCCCTCTCTTGGTTGTTTAATCCTTAAATCCTCACTTTCCATTTCACTGTGTTATATCCTTCAATTTTTATTTTTCCTTTTGAGTTCTTGTACTAAGGAGACAATATGATATTTACACATGTGGATCTAATTTATTTCACTTATGAATATATCTTCAACTTTCATCCACTTATATATGAAGGCTTAGAGTTTATTATTCTTTATAGCTAAGTAATACTCCATTATTTAAAAGCACCACTTTTTTTTCATCAATTCCTCAGGTGATGGGCATATTTTTTTCTAAGACTTGGCTATTACAAATTGTGCTGTTATTAACATACATACACATATATCACCATGCTATGATGTTTTCAGTTCATTTGGGAAAATTCCCAGAAGGGAGATAGCTGTATTGAATGGGATTTCCAGTCCTAGTTTTTTGAGGAATCTCCACACTGATTTCCATTGTGGTTGTACCAGGCTATGTTTCCACCAGCAGTGGAGCTTTTTCCCTGCAGCTTCTCCAACATTTGTTGTTGGTTGATTTCTTTATGATAACCATTCTTTCTGGGGTGAGACGGTATCTCAGTGTGGTTTTAATTTGCGTTTTATGGATGGCTAAGTGACGTGCAACATTTTTTCATGTATTTGTTAGCTTCTTGTATTTCTTCCTCTGAGAAGTGTGTTCATCTCAGATGCCCATTCTGGATTGGGACTTTAAATTTTGGGGTCCAAATGTTTTTTAGATCTTTATAAATTCTAGATAGAAAACCTTTGTCTGAGCGGTTATTAGTTAAGATTTTTTCCAAATTTGTGGGCTGTCATTTCTCTCTGTAGGTAATTTCTTTTGACATGCAAAAACTTCTCTATAAGAGGAGGTCCCAGTTGTTAATTCCTTCAAGTATCTCCAATGCATCTTGATTTTTGTTCATGAAATATTTGTGTATCATTATGTCTTCAAGATTTCCTTCTGCTTTCCCTTCCAGGAGATTTAGTGTTTCTGATTTAATGTTTAGATCTTTAACCCACTTTGACTTTAGCCTACTGCATGGTGATAGACATGAGTCAAGTTTTTGTTTTTGGCATATAGAGAGCAAGTATTTCCAGTGCCATTTGTTAAAGAGGCTATTTTTCTTCAAGTACACATGTTTTGTCCGTGTGTTGAAGAAAAGGTGGCTGGTTGAGTGCATTTCTAGTTGCTTCTGCATCTTCTAATCTATTCCATTGATCCTCAGTTCTATTTTTTTCTAATAACACCATGCTGATTTTATCACAGTAGCTTTGTAGTATAATTTTAAATCAGGAATTGTAATGCCTCCAGCATTGCCTTCATTGCCCAGGTCTGTCTTTGCTATTCTAGGCCTTTTAGGGCTCCAAATAAATTTTAGGAATGATTTCCCCATGTCTATGAAGTATGTTGGTTGTAGTTTAATATGATTGCATTAAATCTGTATAACAATTTTTGGAGTATGGCCATCTTTATGATGTTCATCTTCCTATCCAGGAGCAAGGAATATCTTTCCATTTTTCTGGAATCCCCTACTATCTCTTTTTTCAGAGTACTATAATTTTTATTGAATAGATCTTTTACTTCTTTAGTGAGATTAACTCCTAAGTTTTTCATTTTCCATGGTGCTATTATAAAAGGTATTATTTCTCTAATTTCCCTTTCAGTGTGCTTGTTGTCTGTGTAGAGGAATGCTACTGACTTTTGGATATTGATTTTGTATCCTGCTATGCTACTGAATTTTTGTATTAATTCTAGTAGCTTCATGATGGAGATTTTTGGGTCTTCCAAGTAAAGTATCATGTCATCTGCAATAGGAGTGTTGATAGAGGACATCCT